TTCCGCCAGCGGCGGCCCGCCTGCCCCGCAGCCACCGTTCCGCGCAAATTGCTCTAGGCCCTTTTTTCCACAATTTCAACGGAGTGTCCCCTCATCGTCATAATAATTATTCCATTTATAAACCAGTTCGCGATAGTTATTTTAATAATAATATGTATCAATTTTTTACACGCATGAGTACTAGATCAAATAGTTTCTTTTTAATAAGGTGTAAATAAAAACACTGTTAACACTATGATAAATTAAAAAAAATTAAAGTACCTATTATTATAATTTTTTATTGTTACATATTTATACTTATTCAAATATATTAATACCCGTTATGACGATACAAAGTAAATACAGTTTATTGGGACTTTATTCTTTACTTATATAGAAGTGAAATGGTAGTATTTCGTCAGAATCAACCCCCCGATACATACATATGATCAGGTTCATTGCATCACCTTTAGTTAGATGATCGCGACAGTAAAAAAAAAGAAAACATGTAATTGCAAGTTTCTGATATCCTGATAGAAAAAGTTCAACGTTACATTTTATTACACTTACCATAAGAAATCACAATAGAACGCGTACATACGCAAAAAGTCTATGTGAAACGACCTTTTAAAGACTTGTAGATCGGACGCTGCACCTTAGAGCGGTTTCGCACTACGTCCGATCCGTATTCGACCCGAACCCGTGAAAATACGGATCTAGGAATCTCGGGCTGAATTCGGATATTGTTTACGCACTATTGCGATCTCTGATTCTAATCCAAGCATTTCAGGGGTCACTTTTTACGCGGAGCGTTCACGTCGTTGATCATGAGTCGTTTCGAGTGGCGTCAACTTCTGGAAATGAACGTACAAATGACACAGAAGAAATAAATAATTCTAGGGTGCGTTCATACAAATAATAGTATGGCTACTTTGGTTTGTTAATAATCTTCTCCGGTATGGAGATTCACGGATAACGGAAAGAAATCGGATGGTGGAAGTCGGATCTAGTGCTTAAGCTACTATAGAAATAGTTATCCGACTATTCGGACCGTATTTTCACGACTTCGGATCGGATCCTGATCGAACGTAGTGCAAAACTGCTTTAAGCTTTTACAATATCATTTAACAAATATAAATATTTATACAATGTAATATTTCTTTTAATAGCATTCAATACACTTTCACCTTTTCTTTTTGTTAAATGGTTTTTTTTGTCCTTCGCCCAGTGGGGGATGGCGAAGGGGTCTGTCGGTCTTCCTCTCCTTGCCAATGGCCGGGGGAGCGAGAATCGCCATTGCATTCTTCCGCCACCCTCGACAGGCATTGACCCGTCTCACTTAAGACGGGTCTCGTCACCCGTTGCGACCGTCACCCTTCTGTCGCAGTCTTCTAGAAGCGCACACGGAACACTGTGCGCTGCCTCTCGCCTGTATCTGTTCGGACGACGAATTCCCCAAAATAGTCGCACGCAGGCCACTTCCTAAGGTGGCCGGAGATCGACGAATGCCCTCCGGCGCCCGGTGCGACTTCGGCGGGTAGAGACAGCGGTGCTGCGCTCTCTCTCCCGTCCTGCCGCTTCCTTTGTGGACATCACATATTCGCAGAAGGAAGCGACGGCGCTTCATGCACTCTCGCTGCGGACGATTTACAAAAACAAGGTCGGAAGCGAGGCTCTACCCGCAGAAATACACTTTCACCTTGATCTTAGAAACCTAATCTTCTTAGTATAAACTATTTTGTCTATGTTATTCTCTCAAAAGGAATAAATTTTCCCCATTTTGCACGAATTCGAACCAGTAGAGTGACTTAGATTAAGGAGTTAAACCAAACACACTTAAGCTTTTTAATATCAGTATTGATATGTACCTCACACAACAAAGAAAGCACAACGATACTCACTTTCTCATTAACCGGCTAATCATGTATTTTAGAAACCTGGAACTATGAAATTTTTGCAGGTTTGTTGATTAATGGTGTAAGGCCTCTCGCAAGTTTATTTAGAAAGAAGACTTTGGTCTTTTTCACGTTAGAGTTCTAAAACTAGACAGTTAGGTATTTTATAGGTACACAGGACACGTCAGCTTATAATAGATTTTGCAACAGGGTCGGATTAAGGGGTCTTAAGAGCTCTTACAAGTTTATATCTAAGTCGTTGGTTTAGAGTACAACGTCGAATTAGCAGATAGCTAGTTTCGATATTAATATATCATAGAATGGATTTTACGACGTAGTCTGTTTTAGAAATTCTAAAAGGTCCCGTAAATTCATACGTAAGTCCTCAGTTTTTATGTACTAGCCATATAAAATTTGGCTGAAAGGAAACCAGTGGGTCATCGATTTTTATAAAACCGACCGAAAACAATGACCGATTAGCGTAAATGTTTCAAAGTGCAATTTCCTTAAAGAGATGTTCCAAATTACGCTATATCAATCATCAACAGTCGTCAATAGTCGACTGCTGAACATAGGCTTATTAGAAAGGAGATTTTGGTCAACTATACCAAGCTAACCAGACGGGTTGGTATAGTCAAATTTACGCCTATGAAGTCGTGATAGTTACTCGTATTATTAAATAAAAAAAAATTATAATTATAGAAAAAAAAATATAAATATCTATACAAATAAATAAAATTGGAGTGTATGTTTGTAATATTAAAATAACAGCTTTTTACTAAATGCATATGTATGTTTACACGGTACATATGCAAAATAACATTTTTTTCAATTTTTGTCTGTCTGTCTGTCTGTTTGTTCCGGGTAATCTCTTTAACGGCTGGACCGATTTCGACGGGACTTTCACTGACAGATAGCTGATGACATAAGGAGTAACTTAGGCTACATTTTTTAGACTAGCTTCGCCCCGTGGCGTTGCCCGCGGTTATAACAACAGACGCGGGTAACACCGCGGGTCTAAGCTAGTAGAAAATAAATTTGACATTTGACAACAGGCACCCAACGCTTTTTCCAAATTATTATTTTTTATTTTTTAGTTTGGTTTTCTATAGGAAGCGTGTTTTTTTAGTTTTTTTAAACTATATTTTTTTTATTTTTTTTTTATTAGTGTATTGTCATCGGTCCTCGATATATCTACAAAGTTTGAACGAATTCTGACCGTTTAAAGTCAGTCAAAATCACGCTTAAAGGAGTCGGTTACAAACAAACATACAAGTAAAGCTAATATAAAGCGTGTAATTATAATATCCGCATCACGCCTTCTAGACCTAATTGTTTTTTTTTATTCTTTTGACTACAATAAAGAAAAGCCCGGTTATTAAAAATATTGTTGTTCTATATAGGTATATTTGTAGAATATTGAACAGGGCGTTGATGGGCGGGTTTGCGCTGATCGCGTGCGCACACAATATTGATTTTCTTTCTCCCCACGCTTTCAAGCTACAACATCCCCCAGCTACCTACGCAACACAAAGAATTTTATAACTATCTAATTTGAAATGCCGTTTACATCCTACATAAATACTTTCTCGAATGCACCTACCTTATGTTAGTGTTGTGTTCAATTTAGTCATTAAAAAAAACAAGCTTTAGTTTTTTACCATTGTTTTCATATGTCATTAGTGGTAATCGGAACAATTTCAAAGGAATGGGGAAGATGACTGTCAATCTCAATTATTTTTATGTAGGTA